CATATGAGCAGACTCATGAGTCAAGATGTCAATGTATCTTAGTTGTATTGACTTAGATCTCTATCAAGCCTCTGCACCCTGGCGCGTTGTGCCTTTCAGGAGCTAACAGTGACAGGACGTTACCTGAGAGAGTGCTGAGCAGGAGGCTTTGAGAGGAGCCGGTTGGTAATCTCATCCCCGCGATGTGGAGCGAGGTGAGATGAGGAGAGTGTCTCAGAACATTGGTGATGAAGTGCAGATCTGTCAGCTGGAGCTCAGCCACTTTGACTGACAGCTTCTGCAGAGGCAGCTCTGTGGAGGACAGGAAACAGTCACCTCAGAGGGTCCAATTCCTACGTTTGCATTTTATCTTCGAAAAAAGTTTTTCTGAACTTTTTAACTTCTGACTGCTCTTTTTCATGACCCGTCTGAAGTATAAGTGGTTTAACTACCAAAAACAAACACCGCATTTGTAGAAACAAACAAATGGTTATCTGACATTGCTTTCTTTCATCTGTAAGATGCGATGACCGTCTCTTGTCTAAAACATTCTCTAATGTTGAGGTTACTCTGCTCTCAACCGGTAGAGGATCTGTTGCACAATTCATTTAAATGTAATTGAAATTGTGATATTCATATAGCAGGAAGCACCTATTTGTTAAAGGCAGAATATCTGTTCAAATGCAATTTTGAATCTGGAATTTCAGAGACATTCAGGCGTACCAATAGTATTTTACAAACTTAACAAAAGAGATATTTTTCAAGGATGAGAATAATGATGTAAAAACAATCAATACTTCCTATATCCTTTTCCCAATATCAGCCAAAATAATCCCAATTCTTTATTTTGTCCAAATCGTGCAGCCCTTCTTAGTTCTTGGCTGGCTCAACAGGTATGATACACTTTCTGCTTACGTAGATATTACTTCATTTTGGTAGCAGCTTCAAAGCACCTGGCATGTCTGGATCCTCAGCTCCGGGGTGACGCAGTAAGAGGCGTGATCCCAACATGGCAGTCTGGATCTCCACGTGCAGGGAGGTCAGGTGGGGGTTAGCGTCCAGCAGGAACTCCAGCAGCCCGGCGTAGGGCAGCACGCTGACGCTGAGCTCCGTGAGGGAGCTGCGGCAGCTCTCCGTCAGCGTCTTCAGGGCTTTGGCCAGGCCCAGCACATCCGCATCTCTGAATGAAGCTGCAGACACACACAGAAACACAATCATTCCTGCGCACTAATACGTCAGGTTTGACTATTGTGACAGTAAGGTTATCCTCAACTTTGTTCAATAGATTCAGTACAGCAACATTCACAAGTTCAATGTCAAGATTAGGATGCACCTTTATTGTGCATTCATCTGCATTTTCAGATGTTTTTTTGACTGAATGTTGTTTTTGTTAACAGCTTTATCAGACAACATTTGATATTGTTCGCTTGTTTTACATAATACTTAGAAAGAGGACATATTATGCTCATCTTCAGGTTCATATTTGTATTTAGTGTCTCTACTGTGACATGTCTCCGTACTTTAATGTTCAAAAAGCTCTTTATTTTTCTCATACTGCCTGTGCTACAGCACCTCTTTTCACCCTCTGTCTGAAACCAGAGCCCAGTCTGCTCTGATTGGTTAGCTGGCCGGCTCTGTTGCACATTGTACAATATCACGTACAATGTGCTGGAGTGCTAGCCAATAGAAATGCAAGTGTTACATAGTGAAGTCACTATGTTAAGAAAGGTGTCCAATGGAGGCGTTTCATGCAGGGGGGGTACTGTAACATCCAACTGTGCTACACACAAAGCTGAACATTTGGAGATTTTAGGGGAACTTCTTGAGGGCAAGTTTGGGACATTGAACTGTCATCATACTGAAAATATTTAAATAGAGTTTAAGGTACTGTCAAGGATAAACAAAGGGCACCATTAATTATCCACTGCTACCAATGTTTGTTCATAAACCTAAATTATTATTATTATTCATTTTGAGACACTTACTAATGCTGTGAAGAGTTAGAGAGCGCAGGAAGAAACATGTGGGCAGGGCATTGTTCAGCACTGTGAAGGTGTCCGACACACACTTCCTGATCTCCAGACATTCGATCTGTCCCCACGGACAGGCCCCTGCTGAGGGCCCTTCACGCGGAGCGAAGGTTTGACAGAGAAACTTCAGGTCCACATCAAGGTTGGCTTTCCCAGCTTCTTTCTCCTCGACACAATCCAACTTCAAACGTTTGCAGGGAACAACGTGATCCTCTGAAGCCGCAGTCTTGATGCATAAACCGCAACTGGCCCTGTCTGCAATGGCTGAATAGGCTTGTAAGTTACATGTTGCCATTTTTCTCTGCATTAGGGACCTGAGCTCAGGGCTTACAAACTGAGATCCCCTGTTGAGTAGAATCCAGGACAGCATGAGGGAACATTTCACATCTATAACAACTTTCTTAGCAACCCCGTGGTCTAGCAGGCGATGGAGGACGTACAAATCTGTCTTCCTGTCCGATAGATCCATGCACTTCGAGACACAAACCGTCCTGATACCCTTCTCTAAGAGCTTCAGAAGATGCCGTCGTTCAGAAGTTAAACTTTCAACTGGAGTATCGAGTAAAAAATATTTGATACATTTAGCTGCAGCCAACAGGAAGGATGGGGTGTTCAAATGTGTGATGTTTTTCTGGACAAATTGGCTGGTGTAGCCGTAGAATACTAGAGTGAAAATAATTCTCATAACTTCATGTTTGGCCTCTTCTTCTGTGTGGAAGTTTATCGCCTGAAATGAAACACAGGATACATATTACATCTGGGTTCTGGTTGTTACTATACGAGATAATCAAAGCAGCCATTGTACTTACATGGTTAAGTCCACGCATTTCCTGTAGGACTCCGATCCATCCGGCATGAGTTGATATACCTGAGACCAGGCAAAGAGAAAGTGGAAAATAGAATCTTAATCATGAATTCTGATCAAAACAAAAGTACACTTTCTGTGAACAAAGGAAATATACACTTCCTCAGTTCGTACCTCTCTTGTTTAGGGCAGGCTGGAGCTCATCCAGTTGGCATACAGTCAGATGAAGAAGAAGACCCTTAATGAGAGGCGTTGGTAGATCTATAGCAGTTACAAAACAAAATATAACTTTAGCATAGATTTATCTTTCAAAGTGAATTGGAATCATCAATGAGGGACCAGGAAGTGAATTGATACATGTGTACTGTGAGGTATACAAGAAGAGAGTAACGTTACAAGTTAACAAAAACAATTATATACCAAACTTGGTAACGTTTATTTTAAAGTACTCGAAGTAACGTTATTAAAGGCAGTGTAAACTGTCAAATGTTCTTTTACGTCAACCTATCTGTTACACACAAAGCCAAGTCTGACGACTTTGAGTGGATTGTTTTGTGGGGGGGGGGGGGGGTCCCTTGAATGTTAGTTTGGGATATGTACCATCCTTCAGTAGTGGAAGAAGTATTCAGATATCATACTTAAGTATAACTAGTAATACTTAGTTGTGAAAATACTCTGTTACAAGTAAAAGTCCTGCATTCTAAATGGCATCTAAATAAGTATTAAAGGTAAAAGTACTTGTGAAGCGTAATGGGCAGTTTAAGAATCATATGAAATTAGTGGATTACACTTATTGGTGGATTAATGTGTTTATCACATGTAAAGCTAAAATTAAGCCTAACCTTGAGTTTTATATCCATGTTTTTATTTATTTTTTGTATTAGCTAATAACCAGAATTTGTAATGTAACTGAAGCTGTCAGAGAAATGTAATGGAGTAAAACGTACAATAGGCCTACTGGCTTCTAAAATGTTGTGGAGTAATGAAATGACTCAGGTAAAGTACAAGTACCTCAGAATTGTACTCAAGTACGATACTTGAGTAAATGTACTTAACTGCATTCCACCACTGCCGTCCTAAAATAATGAATACAACTAATAACAATATCGCCATTTGCAAGTGTATTGAATGGAGTTCAGTTTAACGTAAAGTTAACTGTTAGCTTTACTTATGGGGATATTAAAGTTAGCGAAAGTAACTGACATGCTAGCTTTATGGGATATGTGACAAAAGCGAAGGTAAATGACATGCTAGCTTCTAACAGTTTCATGTTAGCTAACTCCCTGTTATTCAACACGACTTACCAATAACAGCCTCAAAGCCCAGAGCAGCATAATGTTCCCGGACAGCTAGGAAACATATCTCCTTTAAAGTGAGACATGCATCCTTTGGGTTTATTAGGTCTGCTTTGCGGGCAGTGTCCCCCATTGCTAGCATTTATGTGTGTTTCATTTACAACGTCGTTAATTACGATGCTGTTTGAAACGTTAACCAACTATCGGGACACAGCCCTGGTTCCGTCTGCTTCTGGTCCCTTTGCGTCACGTTGTGGTTGGCAAATAATGAGTTACAGCTACTTCACCAATGGATGTAATATAGCAATAACAATACAGTCACCGGCTCTTCTATTTCTCTAGTTTTAATGGCGGTCGACCAACCAAGCTGAAAGGCATATGGCGCCACCTACTGCACCTACTGCAGCATCATTGTATTATTTGTATACATCCAAGGTTTATGTTCTTGAACTTCCCATTGTTAAATTTCGTTAACGTTGAATATATCCTGCAAAAAAGACACTGGAACGATTAAAATGATATTTAATTATCTTGTGCTTTCTGTGAATCAGAAGAATAAACTATACATTGCATTCATTTAAAAAGGTATTGGATTAAGATATATATATTTTTTGTACAGTTCATTTTATTTATGGGAAAATGTCACATTCATAAAGAGATGGACTGACTCCAAATCAAATGTCTGACGATTTTAAAAAAACAGTATGAATTAAAGCTGCAAGCAGCTCGGTGCAGGTCCGCTGTTGTCCGCATGTTGACGCGTCATGCAGATGCTTTCCGGTGTCGGCCGATAGCCAACGCGGGACGTTTCAGGCCGATCGAACAATGTCTATAGGAGTTACAGCAGTAAGTGGTCTCAGACTCTAATAAGAAGGCGATGTGTAGGCAACCTTGTATTTGACAAACATTTATTATATTTTGTATAACCTTCCACTTGTACCCGTGTACAGCGACTCTACATTGAAGACACTGATGATGGTAAATGAAGCGGCACTCGTATAGAGAGACACACACACAATCATGCACCGACTTATATCGGCACTAGTCGCCTGCATGAAGTACTAAAACGTACTGGTTTGTGTGCATGTGCTATTAAAATGTGTTCAAATCCAGTAAGTGTAGTTGTTTATGTGCATAAGTTACTGGATTCACAACGGAAAGATAACCAATCCTGCTCCTCTCTTTCATTTAAAAAAACAGAATAACAAATAAATATCAGGACAAACGGTACATGTAGTCTTTTGACAAAGTCTGTTTAGTCCCTCCTGCTATACTACGCCCTTCTGGTCCTCATGAGAGCGCTGGTGGAAGACAAATGAGACGGCAGCGTCCCAGGAGGCTTTCAACACCTGGTCCCTCAGGCCCTTCTTGTCGGAGCAGTGGCTCCACTGGGAGAGGTCACTGGTGCAGTCGGAGGCCTCTGCAGGAGGCCGGACCTCCCTGCCGTTCACACAGCGGCGACAGCGAAACCTGACAGAAACACAAGAGGGAGGAAGAGAGGCCGATCAGCACATTACATACAATGTCGAGGCTGCAGGCTTAGATCAGATCTCCGAGGAAGATGCTGTTATATGAAGTGATCAGATGGGGACATTTGTGTGTTTAGCGTAAACAAAATAAAGTAAACAGGCAGTACTGGGTCTGTTTTTCGTGATGTCTGTTCTTAAATACAAATCCAGCCACGGTGTGTTTCTGTATGACAGTCAGATCTGCTGTCAGTTGGACTTAGTTTACTTACAATGAATACAATCATTGTACCTAATTGTAATAATAATAATTACATATACTATATTAGATTGTAGCTGATTTAACACAATATAATTACATTTAATAGACTATAAATAAACAATATAATTCACATAAGCTACAATAGAATTAAAACCATAATGATTAAACAAATTTAAATGTAGCTATACAATTATATATTTTTTTTAATAATTCAAGCAATTGAACAGTTAACAGTAATATCATTTGTTTGCAATATAAATACTAAAACAGATGTTTATAGAAATGGTATTCTTTTTTATTTGTTTTACTTGTCACAAAACTCAATTTCCCTCAGGGACCAATAAAGTATTTCTGATTCTGATGTGTGAATAGTTAAAACAGACTTCACACCAGCGTGCATGCTGGAAGTCTTGAATTTACACTGTATTCTGCATCCGTCCACTGGAATGTGACTTATCATTTAAATATTGACCTACTTCTATAACATTATCAAAAATACAGGGTCATCCATAACTCATAAAAACCAGTATGGTAATACACACATTTAGTATGATCAGGGGGTTTTCAGCACAGATTCTATGCATCTTAAATAGGTAGTTTCACATTTTTTCACAAGGCTGAGCATTAAAAGAAATTCTAAAAAAGGTCTGCACTGTTTCTTTTCTATACCTGTCATGTGTGTCACTGATGGTCTCCTCGTTCAGATGGAAGAGTTCTCGGAGCTCGCCCAGAGAGAAGTGGCGCTCCACGTCCTGCTCCTCGTCCACCACACAGCTGCTCAGGGCCTTCTTATGTGCCTGCCTCTGAAGGATCTTCTCCTCAATCGTCCCCGTCTGCCAGCATACAAACACACAAGTCAAATATGGAAGCTTTGAATGTTCCTGAAATGTGTTGAATGATTCAATGAGTGCATTTTATGAGCTGTGTTGAACTGACGGAGAGCAGTCTGTAGATATAGCAGGTCTTCTTCTGGCCGTCTCTCCACACCCGCGCCATCGCCTGCTCATCATTGGCTGGATTCCAGTCAGGATCAAACATAACCAAGCGATTAGCACCAATCAGATTCAGGCCACATCCTCCAGCCTTGCTGCTCAGCATGAAGATGAACTCTGGATTCTGAGAAACAAAACATTCAGAAGTTTCTTTAACTGCCTCGCAAAGCTTAGTTCTTTTTTTTTTAAAACTGTGTCAAACTCACAGACGGAGTGTTGAATTTTTCCACAACTTTCGCCCTTTTCTTGATGGACATTGTTCCATCCAGTCGCACATAGAGGTATCTGTCAAAGACCAAGAAGAGGAGGGTTGTTGCTCACTGAAAAATCATAAAGTACAGTCACAAATAAATGGTGGATTTCCCCCCAAAAAGTACCTTCTAGATCTGCAGAGCTTCTCGAAGAGGTCCAGTGTTTGAGTGTAGTTGGAAACGAGCACCACCTTGTCACTAGTTGTAGACCTTGTCATTGCCAGAATGTAATCAAGAACCAGCATTTTCCCTGGAAGAAAGAAATCCAGTTTGTCTTCATGTGGCCTGTCAAATGTGCAACTTCTAAAATGGATGTCAGCAGGAGCCATTGTGCTGTGTATCTGTACTATTTAATCACCACAAGCAGATTTGTACAGAGTGGTTTTTGACATGTTCTCACCAGAGAGCTGAGGCTCCACAGCTTTAGCGGAGTAGCCAGAGGGAAAGAGTTCCAGCGCCCCTTCAAAGCCCTCATCCCTCTGCAGACACTTCTCATAGATCAGAGCTGGGTCTGCAAAACAGAAGAGGAGTTAGTATTTCTACAAAAGTCAACTTTGCATCGTGTTTTTGCGTGATAGCTATATTTTTCACAAATGCAACAGTGTGATATATTTGGAGTTGGCACTTACGATTGCACAGTTTCTTAAGTGTGGTGATGGAAGACAGGGAGGAGACACTTGTTTTGCCCTGCTGTAATGTCTCAATGGGCTTTGCCTGTTTCAGGAAACGCTTGTAGAGTTCTGACTGCAAAGGAGTCAGCCTGCAGGGAAACAGACATTGTGTTAATATAATTATTCTAATTTACAATATTACAATTCATACAAAGACACAGAGTAAAGTTGTGTGTGGATGATCAATACTTTTGAAAACCATATGAAATGTGTCCAGAACCATATTTCCATTAGCTTCATTTCAAATAGCATGCATGTTTTTCTCGAGACAGCATTATAAACTAGTGTCAAATAAAAAATAGGCTTCATTTGGTAAATAAGCATTTAGTTTGAAGAAATGTATCTAAGGATTGAATTTTTGTTTACACATTTGGTATTGGTGCTGAAACTTTGGAAAATCGTTCGCGATTCCTTGAAAACAATGTTTATGTCCAAAAACAACAATTTCAAATGAGACCAACATTTTGTTTACAATAAAAAAAATGGCTACAAACTATTCTCAACTTTCTAACACAAGAAACCCAATGAACCGACATACCTGCAACACACAACCTGCTCAATTTTCACAGGAAGATATTTAGACAAGATGTCAGATGTTCTCCTGATCAAGCATCTGTAGAGGCAGAATATTAAAACAGGTTTAACAATAGCTGAGAAAATATTTTTGATAAATGCTACAAATACTACATCACCACATCAGCTGATCGACATAAGCTAATTAGTGCAATTTGACACACACATCACACAGAACCTGAACATTAGCATAATAGGTCACCTTTACATATAAAGTACCTTGCATGCCCTTTGAGCTCACCTGTTGACGATGCTGATCAGCTCCTTGAGCCTTTCCTCTCCAATCTGTCTGTCTTTATCACTGGCTTCTGCATCTCGACCCCTGAGGATGGGAAGCTCAAATCTCTTTTTAAACTCCTGGGCTGTACCTGCCAGGTAAGAAAAAAAGGGGGGGGATCAGGAAAAACAGCAGAGATAACAGAAATGTGTAATAGCTGTTTTTAAGCTACTAACCTAGGATCCCAGCATTTACAAAGTGGACCAAGCTGAAGTACTCCAGTAGGTCGTTCTGGATTGGGGTGCCTGATATCAGCACCCTCCGCTGGGCACTCATGGCATTCAGCGCCTGGTAGGTCTGGTTGTCAGAGTTCTTCAGCCGATGACCCTACAGTACACACAATAATACACGTTAAATCATTGTTTCATCAGTCTGCCACAACTCGTAAAAAAATGTAAATACCTCGTCACAGATGACAAGTCCAACTTTTCCCTTGTGCAGAACCGCGGTGTGCAGGCGGAATGTCTCGTAGGAAATAATCAGGATCGGGGTGGCTACTCTCAAACCATGTTGAGAGACAAAGTTCACTAGTAGAAACCACAGAAAACAAATACATGAATATGCAGACAATACTCCAACAAGGATATTATAAATTAAATATTGGATGCTGAACCAGATATTGTCCAAGTACCCTGACTTCACATCTGAAAAGCCTACACACTATTTCTTTTTTATATGGTGGATATTTTCTTTATTTTCTTTTAAAGCATCTTTGAGCGCTGTAAAAGTGATATATACATTTTAGTTTTGGTGGAATACTTTTAAATTATCGTGGATAACTGGCAAAATGTAAATTATAAACTGCAATAATATCATCAGAGTTACTATGACTTTAAATCAAAATCATCAAAATTGGAATGAATAACACACTACAGGAAAGGGAAAACCCCCAAAAGCATAATAGGGCCCCTTTAACTTTGCTGTGAATTCTCATGAGGAGACAGAGGTACCTAGTTTTCTATCGATCTCCTCCTTTGAACCTCCGTCGATGGCCACTGGTGAGAGGCGTCCGCCCAGCCACTTTGCTATTTCATTGTACCAGTTACGTACGAGACTGGACGGTGAAACCACAATGACCTTGTCTATCTCGGGCTTTACATCAGGGCTTTGGCGCAGCATGGTCCACATGAGGCTGATACACTGCAACGTCTTCCCCAGGCCCCATCTCATCTGCCATGATGCAGCCGTACGACCCGGGGATACGCCTTCCCGTCACACACTCCCACAGGAACTTCACCCCCTAAAGAAATAGAAGACAGAATATGTTATCAATAGAAAAACATCTACAGCTGTGGGATATATAAAGGATTTCTGATTCTCCACTATTACACAATATTGTCATATTAATGCAATTTGCTTTCTTGGTCAGAGAAGATAAGAAAAATATATCTTGTGTTTACCTCTCTCTGATGGGGTCTGAGTACTTTTCCTAAAACTGGATCCACAACAACATGGATTTGTAGTTTATCTCTGAAAAAGACAAAAGAAAACAAATGAAAAACTCCCACCAATGGCACAGATATAGCAATGGCAGTTAAGGATATGAAGTATTTTCTAGAACCGGTACAAAGCCCACATTCATTTTCTCGGTAGCCTAGGTTAAAGGTGATCAAACCAAGGAATAATCCTATATGTTCTGAACCTACTTGTCAGCTTTGATCAGGTCATGAGCGCTCAGAATCGGGGGTTCATAAAGAACCAAAGCGTCTTCTGCGAAGGGATCGTGAAGAGCTTTCCTTACTCCTGCGCGCTTTAGACCAAGTGCCCTGATTCCCAGCGCGCCTGTGGGTAATTCATCAGGAGAGCAGAGTAAGTACTTGTTTACCTATTGTCCTATACATGAATCCATAGTGACAAGAAAAACTGTTACCTGTGTAATTTTGAATAGGAATTTTAAATGGCTTGGAGAGGATACTTCGAATAAATGCCTCCTGTAAAAAGGATTTTAAACAAATGAGCATATACAATATGAATGTATTGCTGTATTAACACAGGAAAATGAAATGGATTTAAAAAACGCTTACATGCTTGTCACCATCCAAACATTCAGGCAGTTTGTTCAGCTGTGTCAGAGGCTTTCTGAATGGAGAAATGTGGCTTTCTCTCCTCTCATTATCGGTTTTTTTTTTTTTGTCCTGTGAAAAAGCATAACTCACCTTTCAATACAGCACGTACCAATGCTCATGTGTTACTAAAAGTTACCCTACCAAGAAATAAACACTGCCAAGGGACTCAGAAGATCAGCTGAATCGAAAAGGGATTGGTTATGGTTCAAAGATTTCCATAAACATGTTATGGGAGGTCTTTGCATAAGTCAATTATCAAGAAAACCTCAAATTGCCAAATTCAGCCACAGTTTGGCGTACTCTTTAATATGCAGTCTACGGCCACTCGCGTATCTATACAGACAATGCAACAATAGGGTTGTTTTCCAGGTAACTCTGAATAAAGCAACTTTGGATAAGGCATTACATGTATAATAAAGATGTTTCTTTACTTACAGTGTTACATGTCCATTCCTCATCGTCACATGAATCTCCTTGCTTGCGTTTAGCAACCTGACTGGGAGCCAGACTCCTTCTCTGGAATGAGGATTGTTACCACAAGGATACGTTTTTAAACAGTTTAAGGTAGTTGGCAAAACCCAAATGTATCCTGGAGCAAAATGGGAATACATACGAATGCTTCGGCATGCTTACCATTGTCGTTTCCTCTGCTTGACTGTTATGCTGAGACGTGTTGCTAGCATGTACCGCTAACGAGCCCTAGTTACCCAGAAACAGCCCGGAGCTCTGTCTGCTTCACTCACAGCCAAGGAGCTCATTACTACATCACAGATATGTAAGCCATGGATTTAATATATAAGTATTATCAGTGAGTTAGTGCGTTCAATTCAGGTGACAGGTTAGTTCCATAGAAGGTTTATATTTGCACTGTTGTTCTAGCTCGATTCCGGTTGATGTTAAACTGCGCGCTAAATGGATCACAACACTACGGCAAGCCTGAGAGGACAAACTGAACGCTATGTTACTCCTTTAGGGGGCCGCCCCCTGGATATGACTGGTCTAGCTGCAGCCGCAGCAAGTACACGACACGCCCCCTACACGACACGCCCACCTGACACGACACTACGGTGGCTGAGAGACATTGATACCGCACATGGCAGATTAAAAACGAATTGCAAATGTTATTGTAGCATTTTAAGCAATTTATAGGCAAATGTATTAATAACCTAGTCTATCCGTTTGAGACACAACAGTAGGCTATATGACTTTAAGCACAAATAATTGTGTCTAATTAATACATTAAAACAAAAAGGTGGCTTAGTAAACTTTATTTTAATTTTTTAGTAGGCCTACATATAAGATAGGTAATAATGAGATCATCTATTAATTATGTTTGTCTAACTGTCACACATGTATTTATACATAAATGTAGATATTTATGAACATCTAAATATAGTTGTTAAAGGTTTTAAGATATAAATAATAATAATCATGGGGTCATTAAGGTTTCAAACAGGTTCATGTAAGGTAAGCCTACTATAACATGAAGACATGATTTTTAAAACTAATTTCTGAATCTCACATTAGCCTGTAGTTTGGTATGTTATTGATATGGGCTGGACACCCCTTCACAATGATCATCATTTACTTTTTTTAGACCAAATTAGGAGGGCCAGTCAGGCCACTAATGAGCTCAATCATTCACATGTATTATTACTTTATAAATTAAGAGTACTAGGGGTCTATTACAAAACCTTTTAAGGAATCGTCATGCATTCTGAATGTTTCTGTACTTTAAAAACAGGCATCATGGCTCAAGATCCTGTTCTTGTTTAAGATTATTCATATTAATTTGTGAATTTAACATCCATATTCACTCTCAAAACTGAAACAACTAAAACGTTTTTTTAAAGCATTGCAGGCCTAAAGCTCCACGTCAGTGACCTATATTTTAAATTTCTTCCATCAAACTTTAAAAATGGCAAACAGCATGTTTTTAAAGATTTAATCTTTTAAGAAACAAAATATCAACTTTGAACAGATACACTTGAAACATAAACCTATTTGTCATTTCAAAATGCACTTTTATTGTCTGCGTGAAAGGCACAGTAGCGAATACATATTATCAACATAAAAAAATTACAAAGTCGTACAATATAGCCTACCATGTGCTACTGTTTAGGATTAAGTATGATGAGACTTTTTAGCCCGCGACCCCCAAAACAACATTGCCAGAGACCGGCGACCCCGACGGGATAGTGATCAGTGTGCTGGGCAGTGTGGCGGCAGAGGAAGCCGAGGGCACCACCGGAGGAGAGGCAAGCGATGACAGCAGCATCACCGTGGTGCAGATAGGGCAGAACGGGGAGTACCTGGGCACGGCGCGGCTCCCGCACGGACTGAGGGGACTTGTTACACGGAGCCCATCACCGGGGAAGCTGCCGGACCGAGAGTTTGATACTGCCTGCGGCGGGAGAAGGCGGTCTCCTCGGCCTGCCCTTGGCTCTGGGGTCCCAAATAAATAAAAACCTTTTAAATGAAACATTCATCTTAACAGATAATATTTGATCATTTATTTTAAACGTCACTGTCAGGCCTACAGTATGGTCACAAACCCCATCTAAAAACAGAGGCTTTGTCCTAATTACCTGATTGCATCGACCTGCAACACTTTCTCACTCCCAACCCGTCACATGTTGACGGTCGGTCAGGGCCCCTCCCCGTCACTCTATTATGGACAGGGTACCCCTTGAGAGTCAGTTTTCAACGGGCAGGGCGTCCCATAGACCTTCATAGACCTCCCATAGCGTTGATAATAGACGCCATGAGAACGCTCCCAGACGGTCGGTTGTTATTGTCAATATTAAAGGTCCCATGTCATGCTTTTCCGGTTATTACCCGTCCCCTTGTGTGTTATGAAGGTTTGTATGCATGTAAACGGTGTGCAGAGTCAAAACCCTCAAAGTACACCCTGTAGCGAGTAAAACTCTAAAACAGAAAATACCTCCCCAAAACGCCTCTTTGGAGATACGTCATTGTCCATTTGATTATTCCGGGTACGCATGATGTCAACTGTACCCGGAACGAAATGGACCAATCCCTGGAGCCGTTACGTTACGTCCGCGGAGCCGTTACGTTAAGCTCCCGCTGATTGGTCCAAATTGACCAATCCACGGACTTCCTCACACACACACTCAGTGCAAGCAGCTCTGCTGATTTATCCTCCCTGGCTGCAGGCTGATAACAGACAGTAGGGATCGCGGCGAAATTCTCTCTGCAGACCCATTCTCTCTGCAGACCCATTCTCACAGCGTGTATCAACCTTTTTCTTACTCAATATCAAGCCACACTGTGCTCACAGGGGAGGGTGGGGGCTGGAGCTATTGGAGCTACAACGAGCCGTTAAAGGCAGAGAGTGAAATGCAGTGAATACACGTCGTTTACAGAGATGCTGTTTGAGAAACCAATGTCAGTTTGGAAAATTGCACAATATAAATCTATTCTAGTAGACCTCAACAATGGAATTATGATCAGTGGAAATGGCCATGACATGGGACCTTTAATATAATAATTATTTATTTTTTGATAGTCCACTCGATTTCGCCGATTTTCTTGTTGACCCAGCTGGTTACCTGGGTTACTTGGCTCAACCAAATAACTTTATATAAGTTTACTTTAAACCAGACTTAAAATAATAATATAATTATACATATGTAGGCCAACATGTCTACAGTAGCCAGGGCCGCCTTAATGCACGGGCTGACCTGTAGCCAGGGGCCTACGGAGATCGGGGGCCTATCATGAGCCAATTAAAAAAAAAATATATATATATAGCCTATTTTATTTCGGGTGTTGAGAGATTGGGATATATATTTTTTAAATCCTCTGGAGCAGAGAGAGGAGCTGTGGATTATTGTTATTGATTAATGCATCAGTGTTTCTTAGGGTCAAAAAAACTATAAAATTTACAATGAAAGTGTTTAGTTTATTTAATAAAAGAGCACATGTTCAATGTGAAAAGTGACAGTAGATATAGATTTGGTATAAAAAATACATTTTTCTTGAATTCCAAGGGGGGCGCCCCTCCAAGACACGTTACATTACAAAATACTACGCAGACAGCGGTAGCTGGGAGATCGATCACTTTATTTGCTAAACTATGCGGTAGGCTACTATTAAACCACGTAAATTACACATCACAGCAATGAGGCCAGATCAATTAAACCAGGATACATCCTTTACCGTCAAACTGGATCTAAACACAGCTGCCTGTGTGCGTTGGATAAATACTTTCTTATTTTATATTTATTGTAGGCTATGCTACTTATTAGCTATATAGCCCTAACGTGTAAAGTTATTCAAGCATTTGTACCAGTGCTTTTCACAAGTAGACTCTTGCAGGCCAGAGTAGCTGGAGTGATTCAACAACAACAAAAAGACATATCTGAGAAGTGATCAGGATGAACAGAAAGAGGAAAAGGAAAAAAGAGACCATGGGGGTCAGAGCAGGAGGAAGAGGAGGAGATGAAGACATTGGTGAAGAAGAAGAAATGTATGTGAGGAATAAAGATGAAGTGTCAGAAAGAGGGACAGAGGCAGGGAACAGGAGGCAGATGAGACTCCAGCTGGATTCTCCTTGCATATTCCATCACAGCAGCACAATCTAGCGGCTCGTATTGACAAATATTTATTGAAATGTGTTGTTGCACAGGTCACCTTTAGTTCTCTTAAGAGATGGGTGATGTCATTTGTGTAATTATAACTACGTTTTTTACGGTACTTACAATAAACAGAATTATAGGGTATCATGAGTATTTTCTGCTGTTTTATACTATATTTGAGTTTGTTTGTCTGAACACCTTGTTTCTCTTGTGCATTAGGAACCCTTGTGTTAGGGCATGATTTAACAATAAATAGGTTATATATACAGTATCAAATACCACGTACTGTCCGCCCTCCCATGCCACCCTGGCATGACCTCTTGCCCCCCCTTTGCCACCCCATGTAGAATGTTCTAGCTCCAACTGTATAAGCTTAGGTAAAACTTAAATGCATCAATAATCAATCAATCAAAACATATAATATATTTGATTCTGAAATGGGCCAATCTGCATATTTATTATTTTTACTTTTGCTACTTTAAGTATATTTTGATGCCAATACTTCCTACACTCTGGTACTTCTACCACCTCTGGTTTTATGTTGTTCAAATAAAAAATAAAAAATATTTTCAAATTATTAAAATATTATATTATTGATGTAGGATATTTTCCAGAAATGTTTTGTTTGTGAACACATTATTATATCAACTTCCTTGTAGACAGATTTTGCAATATTTCAGTATGAGAGATAAAAAGCTGCTCTGTAAACAATATGCTGGATTTAATACAGTGTAGCATTGGAAATGTTACAGGAGGAATAATAAGCACTCATCTGTTTGTTACAACTCAAGGTGAGTAACACTGCATGTAAACTTCAATCATTATTAAAGATTATTTTCACTACAGAAGTTCACAATATAAAAGAGCTCTCTCAAATGTGCTCACTTCTGGTTCATGGTATTAACTTTACTTATCTTAACAGACGATTATAGCCAGCACAATCATTTGTATACAAAAAACTGATCTGGGGAGATCGGATGTTAACTAAGCAGTGGTTATACATTTACCAAACCCAGACAAAATAGTTGTTAGAATGTTTTATTATTTATAATGTACAAAAATAGTGTTCAGAAGGCATTTTACAATACATTGTCAACAATTCAGAATATATTCAAGATAATACATTAACACAACATATATGAAGACTATTCCCATTTCTTATATTTATCACATTTATTTTTAACTGCAATCTGTTGGGTGAGGACCAGACATTTCCCAAAGGATCATTGTTATTAGTGTGTAAGGACATACTGCAAGAGAGTGGTAGTGTCAAAGAAGTGTATCCCTGGTACTTGAGAGAAACAAGTCCACAAGTCCACACCTGTTGTTCCATGTTGCTGAACCCTTTCTCAGTCACACTTCATTTGAAGCCTTCCTCATTGGGGATCATAAGGCATCATTAGCATGTTTTAGGCCTATATTTCTATTCTGGATGTAGTGTCATGTCGTTTTAGGTTGTTGTAATGTAGGATAATGAATTACTTCAGTAAATTGGTTAGTTATCTTTATATCACAGGTCAAGGGGTAGACCTAGGACCAGGTGGAGGGATTATATCTCTTCGCTGGCCTGGGAGTGCCTTGGGATCCCCCAGTCAGAGCTGGTTGATGTGGCCAGGGAAAAGAAAGTTTGGGGCTCTCTGCTGGAACTGCTACCCCCGCGACCCGACCACGGATAAGCGGGAGAAGATGGATATCACAGGTATTGAGTGTGCCAACAAATTATCATTTTAGACTTTTGCAAAATGTGATGGTAATTTACCTAATTCAATTGATATAAATTTATAAATTATCTAGTATTAGATGTATACTAGATCATAGTTTGTCTAACAGTTCATCTTTTACCTGCTTTAACATTTACATTTGTAATTTGTGATTTTTTCCCCGGTTAAAATAAGGTCCTCTTTTATTTAAAGATGTGGTGACGTGGTGCTTAATATTACACAATCCACACTGCAACAAGGGCTCTGATTAGCCAGTTGCGTGATGGAGAGTAAACTCTTTACATTTAGTTAATTATTGTAATAAGGTATATGTCAAAAATATTATACTAGTGGTACACTCCTGTCTTCCTCAGTTTTTGAATGGACCTTGGGACTCGTGTGTTGTGCTAGTGTTATTCTCTTCCTGAAATAATGCTACATTGAAAACACAAATACACATGGCTATTTCATGAATAATAAACATCATCAGAACAGCTTTAATGCAAGTAACGAATAAATAAAATAATTTAAACAATAAATACTCTTATGTACATCAAGGGAACATGATGCATAGCATCTAACAGACATGTACAGAGCAGTTTGACATAAACAGTGACTGAAGGCCTCAGAAATGATGTTGCTCCTGATATCTGCATCAGACATTCAGACACTGTGTGCAAAGCACACTCAATATAAACGGTTTTATTTCCAGGGCTACTTGAGTAGACTCCATTGGTACAGTATGCATAATGAGGGAATCTATTTTAAACAGCTCCTTTGTCTGGGTCAGGGACACTTTAGCTTTTAAAGGGACAGTCCGTCATTGTCAGAAATGTGCTCATAGTCTAATCTCTTAAGGGTGCTTCTCTTTTGCCTTATTTCATGTCTCCTCACTCCTCTGTCCACGTTTGAGCTGAAATTAATTTGTTTCTATTATTTTTGTTTGGAAGAGCAATGAGGCTGCCCATTACTGTAGTTAACTGGGGCAGATTCAACACAGATGATATCTCACTTCGGATCTCAGTAAATCAGATTTGCCATTAAATGTTGTGATCGTAACTATACGCTTAATAAGGAAGCATAAAAAAAACTATTATAACCATCGTCAGATTTTTGATTCAATTATTTGATTAAATATGGTTTTCTATGAGGCTGAGATCCCTGCGTCAGGCATGACATGTATTTTGATATGAGATATAAAATCTGAATTGTTCACAAAATCAATGCAGAATAGCTGTTTTTAATTCATGTGCATATGCTTTTTCAACTGTTTTCGATGTATGTGGAAACATGCAGAGACAGTAGTGATGTACAGTAGGGGGTAGAAAAATAAGGTATAATAGAAAATACTAACAAATGTCTTAAATGGAAGAAACTAAGATGTGATAAATAAAATACGAGTAAGAAAAATGTGTAGACATTTAAGATAAATGAGAAGCACCCATTGTTCATGTTCATCTAATCTTAGCACGAAGCAAAGAGAAAAACATTTGTCTAGCTCTGTCAAATGTGTAACCATTGACCCTTTAGTAAGTAGAAGCTGTTTTGTTATCTTCTACAGTCTTCTTAAAGTATGACTATAGGCTGATACATGACAATGAGCTGGTCCAACAGGATTGTGTTTGGATATTTGTCTGTTTTACTTACAAACTGTACAACCTTTATTTGCTGTCATAAAAAAACATTAAACATAAGTTGGTGTAATTGGAAGAAAATGTGAGATTGCGTGCAAGCTTGGCTGTAAGCATTCTGCAGATTATCTCAATAACAAAACACAGCAAAGTTGGAAGGATTACAGTGAGCTGAGTAGTGTGGGGCAAAACCAACTATAGTAATATAACATGCGGAGGTGCTTTGTTATTCCAATGTTATCTGTGGAAACACACTGCAGAGAGGGGAGAGCATTGCAAAACTGGCCCCGGTAATGGTACAAATCTCAACCTGTCGTTCAATGGACAGCTTCCCCCCCCCCCATCTATGTATATACTCGCATTTTAGACTCTGTTACTAACTGTATATCTGTAGACTTGGTATGTCTTAAATGTCCGGTTAGGATGTATTAGAACGAAATCTAAAATGAAAATTGTAAATAAGCAATCTGTATGTAAAAAAAACACCTGTATGTAAATTGTAAATAAGCCATCTGTATGTCAAATATGTCTTATATGTCTTAAATGACATGATGAATTGGAAATGGGGGACCCTGATGTAAACAAGACGAAAGTCTTTCTCTGGTCTGCATCCCCTTAACAATTGTATGTTTTGAGCTGTACTGTACTGTACCCAATATACAAGCTGTTAATAAACTTTTCAATCAATCAATCAATACATACTGCCTATCATTTAATGCTTCACTTGGATATTGTTAAACTATTTTCGATAGAGCTGAACAAAAAACCAATGTGTATGAATACTGTTTTAGAGCACCTGCATGCACATATAAAATATTATAACATAAGATTTGTGATGCTAAATTGTAAACATCCCAATTTTTTCAGACGTAGAAATACTGGAAAAATGCTTATAATGCTGAGCTTTGTGTGAAATAATGTTAGTGATGATAAATGCCACAGTCTAATTAGCTTCTCTGGACACAACTTTCTAAAATAATATGTAGAAACACCATGTTGCATATCATTTGTGATAATCTGTGATATGCCAGCATTAGAAATCACATTCAAACTGATTTCTAGCACTTATTTTGTTTGATGTACAGGTCTGATGGTTGTGACTGGGATCATGTCGCACCTGATCTGAAAATAGACCGCGTGGTGAAAAGCTATCACTGCGATTGATGGCTGCCTCATGACTATATTTGTGTTGGCATCCTACAATAGACTGTTGACAGAGATGTAAACAAGCTGTGCTTTTAGGTCCTCCTGAGCTGCTGTGGCATTTACAATTAGCATATGTTAGCTAGAGAACAGCATGTTATGATCTGATCTGCTGGATTTAGAAAGCCGATGGGGTCATGTAATGCTTTATGAATGTCATGCACTAAAATAAACAAAGCTAAATGTTTTTGTATTTTGAAACTTGAATTGTGTTTGTGAGGGTAAGAGATTTTTTTTAGGACATTTGAAGTTTTACTATAGTTGCTGTAACGACTCTTAATGAATGATAATGACTTTTCCTTGACCAGATGGATGTTAGCTGCCCTGGAAGGTATCACATGGTGAGAGGAAATGTTGGTCTTATGAAGACCATTGTATTTACAAAAGAAAACATAAATACTATTTTAGGCTGTTCATGAAATTGTCTTTGTTAAATAGAGGCTTCGCAGTTGATTTACACATGTCCAGAAATCATCATTCTCTCCATCTTGGAGGTTCAGTAGATAACTGGTTTTGGCAAATAAATGATAATACCCTTGTCTATAAAATAACCATGTAAGAAAAAGATACATATTTTAACCATGCTTTAGAGTCAATTGATAAGTATAGAGTAGAGCCAATGGATAAGGATGAATTAGTCAGTGGTGTTCAAACTGAAATATTGGTCTGGTAAGGCAAACATGTTTTTTTAGATGCATTGATACTGTGACATGAACAAATGATTGAGTGTTACGCTTGGTTAGCTAGCACAATAACAACATGTCAGGATTAAAAAGTCTTACCATGCAGACCTTTGAAGCCGATGAATCAAACCATATGTAAATCTATGAAACACCTTCATCTTAAAATGTATTTCAATATTAATTTAATTAAGGAAACTTGTTTGTTCCAATTATATTTTACGGTTGTTGTATTGCAAACATTTTTTAGGCCTTAGCAGCAGGGGAAATGAAGGGGATATAGTTTTGCCAAAACATGCTGCGTGCCAATACAATACTTCAATACAATAATATGAGTTATAAATTATTAAGTTTTCTCCATAGAATTATGCATCCAATATAAAAGGTGATGTTTTAAAACAGGAAAGCACAAAGATCACTCTTGCCTTGAATTAATAATAGGTTGATTGAATTAAAATGGTGTTGCTTAACTGATGCTTTTGGATGGTGTTTAGGCACCACGTTTATCTCTTCTTAAACATTAACGTTAAAGCTGTAATCTAAATATGCTGCCTTTCCTACATTTTTACAGTTTTTGGATTTGGATAAGTGAATAGCTATTTGGTTTCAGGTTTTATGCTTAAAGTTGTATCATATTCAACATGAATTAAATAATAAAGTTTGAAATGTGTTATTTAATTTGCTGAAAATGAATCTTGTGAACACATTAGGAAAAATGTTCCCCTTCATAACTGCTGGAATATGTTTCAGCCAGCCACCAATGCCTGTATGCAGTTAGCATCATCTAACACTAGCGGCTACATGAGGACCAGCTAATGTTTTCGCTTCCTAGCTGGTAAGCATTTTCTGCCTAACAGAAAAAAGACTCCTGGTGAAATGTAAAGCTTCCAGTCAGACAGTTGACCGTACTGAATTCTTGTTAGCCAAGCTGCATACTTAGAGATATGGTTAGCTTCTAAGAGCTAAAGACCTTCAACATGGCTGCCAAGCCTTCAAGGAAACAACATATAGTCCATTATGGACCGGAACAACACTGATAGTTTCCTCCTCTGCTCTTCTTGCTAGTGGCATTAAAACAAACCCTGCTCAGCCCCAGGATTGTGGCACAAATCCAGTTAGCCTGCTTGTGCTATTCATGGAGTGAAGACCATGGCCGCTGCCTTGAGGATCCAAATCCAGCCCATGCTGCTGGATCAGGGTTTGGTCACCCACTTCAGACACCAGTGCTTACAGCATGCTGCTCTTTAGCTTAACAAAGCTTTTCTGTGCTTGTGATAGATGTTCCCTACTATCAGCTAAAACAGCTGCAGTTGGCCGCTGAGAGCCACCTGATGGTCTGCCAGGTAGTCTGTTCATCCATAAAGGACACAGTCTCATACCGGGTCGGCCGACAGCATGGGTGGCTGCTAACCTTCTTCCCAGAGATGCTCCCATTTTCCATCAAAGCCTTCACGACCAGATCATAGTTCTTGCGGGAGCTGTGGCATGTCCCAACACAGTACTTAAAGAGGATTATTTCATCCGAGTCGTAGCCAAGACCCAGATCCCGCACCCGCATCTCCTTCCTCTCCAAATGGCAGTCGTGACTGACCTTGGTCTTCTTGCGGTTTCTCCTTGACGTTCTGGGCAAATCTGGGTCACGGTAGGCTCGCCGCCATCTGCTCTGCTGGATTTCCCCATCTTGCATTAGTGACCACTCTTCTACAATAAAATAATACACAGATAAGACATATATATTTAGTTATTTGATTCTCAACATAAACATTTTCTGTGAGTTAGCATTTCACAACATCCCTCTTCTCATAGTCAACATTTGAACCGTTTTTTGGTTGGACACCTGAATCAATTATCTTTTTTTCTACAACTTAAAATACATTAGTAAATATCCCCCTTTGGAAGTTGAAAGCTTCTATGAGTCTGGCTGGTTTGACCAAAAACGATATGCAACTGCTAAACGCCGAGCATTAGCCACATTTAGCATAGCGGTTGTTATATGAGTTCATGCGACCATGACGTAGTTTGTTTGTAACCTAACAGGCTTGTTACTTCTGTCCGCCTTTATGCTTCCAAAATGTATAGCGGTGTTCATTTGTGGATATTATCCTACTGACCAAAATATGTAATTTTGCCGATGCTAACTTCCGCGTCGCTCCACAAAAAAAACGTCATCACTGCACCACCACAACTTGCCCAGCAATAATTTGCTTCCTGGTTTATGGCAATGGTTTATCAGAATAAGAATACCTTCATTCTGATTAATGCAATTGTTTCCTGTTTTATGGGCTACTCCAGCACAAGGTATCAAAAGTTCACAAAGACATCTTGTATCACTTTAATTCACTTAGCCATCTGTTAAAAAGTTATGATTGGATCTCTACTCAGCTCTGAAATTCCTGGTGTATGTAAACATATTTGGCATGTCAACTGTACTCTGATTGGTTAATCTCCCTCACCTGATTGTATGCTGATAACTACATGATGGAAAGCTGAGTTTTTATTTCTGTATGAGAGCGACAACCAGGAATCACAGACACTGAGTAAAGCGTTTGGAATCAGGGCTTGTTTTAAAGTTTGTAAAATAAGTTGAAAGCTTGCTGAGTAATTAAAAATAAAGGATGTATTATTCCTAACTTTGGGACAAAGTTTTGTTGTAATGGTAATTGTCAAAGCCTTTTAAAGCTTAAGTGCGAGATACAGTAAGTTAGAGTCCTGCTCCTAGTTGGTTTAACGTTGCACCTAATGAGCATCATCACTTCAGCAAAGGCAGAAATGACAGCTTGCACCCTCTACCATTGTGATTGGTTCACAGCGCTTGAGGACTTTGATGTCATCAAGTCTGTGGAACCTTTTTGCACAAACAAAAACCACTCTCAGATGATTTATTTTATATATATACATTTTATAATTGATATGTTACTTTTTGTTGAATTTATATTTATTATGTTTTAAATATTTTATATTTGTATCAATTATTTTGTTTCAAATATATTTAATTTGCTATAAGAAATGCAATTAATACATACAAAATAAATTGTATTTGAACGCAATGTTCAAGTTAATCTTATTTAAAAATTAAAGTAATAACATTATACTAATTGATTTAATCTAATATAATTTGTTCACACTCCTACGTCATGATAAATATTGTCTTTCACATTCACTTGCCTCTAAATCAATCATTACAGACAGGGTGAGAAAACAAGATGTCAGCTAACTGAGTAAACCTTTCTCTTGGCTCAGGAGTTCTTAAAGCTCTGTAAAAGCAGCTTCATGCAGCTTTGTGATTATTTCTTGGAAATGTTTGCAAGGAACTTCAGGCTCCATTCCTCTCAAAGTCTCCAGATGTCTGCTCTGGCCTTTAGAGACTGAAAGGTGAAAAACTTCTCACACTTAACTTTATGTTTTGGATTAGTTTTATGAGCTAGCCGAGGCGAGCATGTGTGATTAAATTAAAAGCAGACATGGCCGCTGCAACATGTACTACTGTCACTATGCGGGGTCATTACCAGTATGGAAGGGGAGCTGGCTGAACTCCAACAGGAGCTTTCTCAGTTTGCAAGAACTTTTCAAACAAACTCATCAAACTTCCTCAGTCCACTTGGCAGACAGGCCCGCATGTTTGACGTATTTACTCCCAGACTGCACTTTCTCTGAATGTCTGTGCAGTATTGTCCCTAGGGAAAGGTTCCTACCTCTATTGAACGCTCATTCACAGCAGCATCGGTGCTTGTCAGTTCATGCCTTGATGTTTACGAAAAGAAAACTTGTATCACGAGAAAAAAAAGAAAGAACAGAAAAATGCATAGGAATATTCCCCCGGAGAAGTGGTACATATTCAGCCATGTTTAAACATGCCACACGGTTGCACTATTTCATGTAATTACAAAAGTATTCAATGTTACAATTGAATTGGGCAATGTTCAGGCAATCAAGTTTAACTTTCCTCAATATAGTTTTAGAAAGAGAAACTAAATATGTTTTCAAGAAATCATCACAAAAATAAAGTCACTGTCAGTGATTGAGATGTGCAGTGAAGTGTACAGAAACCCTTTGTGCCTCTTTTTCATTCTTTAACTTCTTAATGTCTTGGGGGAGAATGTCCCTTCAGATACTGGAGTAAAAAAATATGATCCTCATCAGTAAAGTAAGTAAAGTATACTCTGCAGTGTGATTCCTTTTAAATAATTATAGACCCGTTTATAGACGTCATTTGTATTGCTACCTTTGACTTATGTCTGCCATTTGAACCCTTTGACAGCAATGAATGGACTATTATTTTTAATAATAACAAAGATTAAAAATGCATATTGAATAAAGAAATTACAAATTGTTAAAACAGCTCGATAAAAGTAATAATCAAAGTAACCACCTTTAACCTGATTCAATAATAACACAGTCAAATAGAGTCTCAGATGGGCTGACTTTAAAGAGGCTCCATATACATTTGGTGTTTTTCCCATTCCTGTAGTGTGCTTTATAGGTTTTTTGGTAAATGGTCTGCAAAGGCTAAAACACCAAAGTCCCCCCTCCAGAGAGAGTTTCTCTCCCACACACTGCCTGTGAGAAGCCTTGATTGTACTCCTTTGCTTACCTCCCTAACATAGTGACATCACTATGTAACACTCCTTTTTATTGGCTAGCATTTCTTCACATTGTACATGATTATGGGGGGGGGGGTTAAGGGGCAGGACATCTCTAAGGGGTTGACCAACCACAACAGAGCCGGCCAGCTAACCAATCAGAGCAGACTGGGCTCTGGTTTCAGACAGAGGGTGAAAAGAGGCAGTATGAGAAAAATAAAGGGCTTTTTGAACATTAAAGCATGGACACATGTCACAGTAGAGACACTAAATACAAATATGAACCTGAACATTTGCAAAATAGGGCCCACACAGTAGATGATGAGATGTTTTGAAAATTAACACAGAAGGGCTCCTTTTAAACATTTATCTCCCCCAAGGCAGATCATGTGTTCAGTCAATTGTATTTTTGTTCGTCTACAGTGTACTAAAATTTCAAACCCTGTTTTATTATATATTGTGTAAAATACGCCATATACTCTAGTGTCTAGACAGGAGGTCACCAACTGTGGTTTGAATTCATTCTATCAACATTTCAGAAGAGGTCACACCTGGTGAAGATCTGCACTATTCTGAGTGAACTATTCTAGTTCTCGTTTTTTATTTATAACATGCTCTGGTAGCTGTGAAAAACAGGACTATGATGCGGGACAGAAACCTTGCACATTGGATTGATTATTTTTACCCTGTTGGGGCCCTTGCTCAGTTGACCAGGGCCAAACTGAGCGTTGAAAACTACGAGGCACATTTCCAGAGGCTACATTACTCATCTAGGAGTGACACACTGCTATTTTATGACCTCTACTTTAGATTTATTAAGTTTTGTTTTCAGCGTTTTTAGTAGCACAAAAAATTGAGTAATGTTAATATAATGGATGGCAATGAAGAGTGCCTCTCCAAAGGTTAAAGAAGCCAAGCAGTGTATACCTGCAGGCAGCCAATGTGACGTACTGTACTGTATGTATTAGCATAAGAAGCATTTTATGTTACCAATAGAAGTGTCTTGAAAAGTTTCCAACATACTAAAGAATGCCAAATATTTTTAACTATTTGGGAAAAGGGTAGTTGATAAAGCTCAAAATGGACAGACATTTTAGGAAAATATATCAGACCATTCCACTGTCTCCTTCTTAATGTAGGCCTGATATTTACAGTGTTCCCAAATGATATGACCAAGAAGTCTTTACTCTACTAATTTATGGTTTACCTTGTTCAGAACGGCTTTTTGTTAATAAATCCCTAACCCTAACCCTGACCCTGACCCTGACCCTGACCCTGACCCTGACTCTGACCCTAACCCTAACCCTGACCCTAACCCTGACCCTGACCCTGACCCTGACCCTGACCCTGACCCTAACCCTAACCCTGACCCTAACCCTGACCCTAACCCTTCCAAATGAGAAGTAATATTAAGGTTATCAATGATAAAAGTCATTGAAATACTTGCCAAGGGCTCCAGGCCAGGATATGTGGCCCCTGCTGCCCCGGTCCAGGTCCTTAGCAGGAGACACGGAGGGGAGCCTGAGGACATGCTGGAGGTCTGACTCTTTATTGTCCTCCTCAGAAAACACATCCTCCACCAGTGTCAGCAATGATGCCAGCACCCACAGCATCATCTGAGAACATCAAGGAACACACCATTACTGGTCAGTTTGTTACCACACTTCTGTTCACATTCACTGTAAGAAATCTGTGAAAGGGAATCTGTGAATCTGTGAAAGGGAATACAGGTAGCTTTCTCTTAATCCTGATGATGTCATCCCTTTATATGTCATCCGTTTCTCCCCAAGCCCGAGACAGATGGAGGGAGGGCAGAAAGCTAGCCAAGCTCCCATTGACTAAATGCTTAATCATTACATTCATTACCACAGATGAGTCATAAGACTTGTGGTAATTAAATACAACTCTCTAAAAAACTTTCTCACAAATGTCTTATCTTCATTTTCACAGCATTTTTGAAAATATATGAATTATCCACATTTGCTTGAGTTGGTGTATTGCTCCATTTCTTGGCACATTAAGGCAGCAGTGCAGTACTTGGGCATGTTTATGAAATATTAACAAAACAAGTGAATTCACTCATCTAGTAACTCTGGAAATATTTCAGCTGAAAGGGGCCTATTATGATATTTAGGGTTTTCCCTGTCCTGCAATGTGTTAAAAGGTTTATGTGCATGTAAATGGTCTGCAACACACTCCCCCCCCCCCCCCCCCCCCCCCCCCCCCCCCCCTGCCTTAAACACCTCCATTGGACTCCTTTGTTTACTTCCATAACATATTGACATGAATTTGTAACACTCAAGCTTCTATTGGCTAGCGCTCCAACACATTGTACGTGATCACCTCTAATCGATTGAGCAATAACAACAGAGCCGGCCAGCTAACCAATCAGAGCAGACTGGGCTCTGGTTTCAGACAGAGGCTGAAAAGAGGTGCTGCAGCACAGGCAGTGTGAGAGAAATAAAGAGCTTTTTTGAACATTAAAGCATGGAGACATGTCACAGTAGAGGCACAAAATGCAGATATAAACCTGAAAATTAGCATGACATGAACCCCTTTTATTTATTTGCGGTCACTTACCAATGACCACACTGACAGTCATGCATCTTTTTTGGTGTTTGCATTTGATTGAGTGATATACAGCGTAATAAATATTGTGAAAACCGAAAGCTGATCCTGTTACATCATCTTCAACATGGACATGCGTCTGGGTTCCCTGTCTGGATACCTGCAGCCAACACCTGCACCTCTTTAATTACTTAATTGACACGTGACACCCTCCCTTTGTGCAGGTGACTTTAATATTTAACATCACTTATGAAATGAGTTTCTCTGCAGTGTCAGGCAGGAACTGAAGGCCCAGATCAGATGGTCAGTGTAGTGGAAACTGTCTGTTAGTGAAACACATATCCTAGCAATCCTATTGGTTACCTCTCTCTCTCTGATTCTCATACAGTCTTTCACCAACAAGCAAAAGGCTATAAACTTCAACATGAGGACTAACATGAGTTGAATGTATTGAAATCTCAGCGTTATAATTAAGCATTTCACTTGAAAAAGTACCATTTGTTTATTGAATTGAACCCCAAACTGGTATGTTGTCATTTTTCTTTGAACTGACTGACCACTTTGTCTCTGGCCAGTTGATTGTAGAACAGACGGGAACATGCTCACCTTCCAGTTCTTCAGGTGATGCTGGGGAGACGACACGTCCTGCCTCCACCAGGTTTTTCCATCTAAAAAAATAAAATATTTTTTACAATGATAAAAAGAAAAATCTGTTCTCTTAAATCATTCATTTCATGACAGTTTTGTCTTTTTGATGCTTTGCGGAATTCCGGCTTTCCTTCACTGTGATGGTACACTTCAGCAGCATTTCAGTGTCTGTTATACATACATGTTTCAAAATTGAGTTGTATCATAATCATATTAAGAATGAAAAGTAAATGCAAAAATATTTATCAAAACACACATCCCCTCTGCCTGAAACGCCTCCATTGGACTCGTTTGTTTTCTTCCTTAACATGTTGACATCACTCGTTAACACCTGTGCTGCTATTGGCTAGCGCTCCAACACATTTGACATGATTCCCAAAAAATTCCAGACACATCTCTTCCGACCAATCACAGAGCTGGTAACCAACCAGCTAACCAATCAGAGCAGACGGCTCTGATAGCTCAATCTCTCGGCTATTTGGATTATACTAAGGTGAAAACTACAGTATATACAGTATGTGTAAGAATCGCTTGGAAATAGAAATATACTTGTAGCAATAACACAAAAGTGACTGCACATAATTATGTCCTGTTTAAGGGCCCTCCTCCAACAATTAAACTCTTCAAGAACAGTAAAGAACAACATATTGGATAGACCTAAAAACCAACATATTTGTTGTGCTTCTCAACACCCCACAATCCACTCATGATGCATTTGGTCAATTTGAGAAGTTTGGGAATATCATTAGACCATGTGGCCACTAAATGTACCACTACTTGTACTGTAAGTTTTCCTCACTGTGTCTGTTGGTAATTGTTGATTGATCCTTCTCTGTTTTCTTAACACCCCTTAGTAAGTAATAGTTTTAAAATAATGCAGGATTGACTCGAAAATGAAGTTCATCAAAGGTTTCTCAAACAGTAATGAGCAGGGCAACACATGCAACATCTTTAAATCCTTTAACATTTGATATAAGGGCATTAAGGATAATAAAATCATACAGAGACCTTTAAGTTCACTAATAAAATGTAGTTACAACCAGGAAACAAGAGTAAGAATGAAAGTCTCTGTGCTGTGAGTGGAATCCTCACATTAATAACTGAAAGCTCTACCAGGATGTCAAAATAGCAACACAAGATAGCTAAACTAAACTGTGCTTGTGGTTTTTTATGTTTCCAAAAAAGCTAGGCCTCTCTAGAATTCTGTCAATGAACCAGACATGGATGGAGAGTAGGATACAGTTGGAGATCTGGATCAGATTACACAACACTGACTGTTTGTGAGTGTGACATCCATGCGTGCAATGACACACACATGTCCAGCCTGCATGCAGCTACTGCAGTTTAGAATGAACCAACTGCAGATCTAGCTATAAAACAAAGAATCTTGATCTGCTTCGTCTGCTTCACACTATGAAGGTTTATTTCTTGGGACCAATCAGAGAGTAGTGCTGAATGTGGTGCTATGACCAAATCAATTCACATTTGTTTCGAGAGACGTGCAAGTGAACATTGTGTCTGATACACTTGTGATCTGGACGGGAGGTCACCAACTGTGGTTTGTATTCATTGATTTGAAGATACATCAGTCCTTCCAAAAAAAATGCATTAGTTTGTAAATGCTGTTTTGTATTTGCAACCACACTGTGTTTGTTGGTGAATCACAGGGCATTTGTAAAACGTGTTTAGTTTGTTTGTGGAGTTATGGCAGGAAATGAGTTCCATACCAAAGGTCACTTTAATGACTTTTCTACATTATACCTTCACTCCCAGATATTTAGCAACCGGGACTGTACTTGATCAGGTTTCTAGAAAAAGCTTCATACAACTGGAGAAACAGTGTATATCCATGAGGAGTAACATAACACACACACACACACACACACACACACACCACACACCACACACACCACACACACACATCCACACACACACACACATCACACACACACACACACACACACACACACACACACACACACACACACACACACACACACACACACACACACACACACACACACACACACACACACACACACACACACACACACACACACAAAGATTAGCGCTAAGAGCTAGACCTATTACAGTGAAATTAGCTTCTTCACCGAGTGGTAACTAAATCACTTTTATAGGGGGTTCTTCCCAGATTATCCAGTGAAAATTGCATATTAATTATGAAATGTGGCTTTTCTGCCATAGTTCGGCCTACTGGGTTCTTGGGTTCTTTGGTGTATCATTTACACTATGGATAATTGCAATAAGACATAACAAAGACAAACACTTAGCTGCAAAAGTTATGGATGCGTTTGCATTCTAATAGTGCAATGTCTTTGGTGAAATCAGACATGAGAAAATGGTTGCAAGCAATGCATAACTCAAGGAGCTATTAGCAGCTGCAAAGAATTCTTTGTGAATTTGCATTGTTGGATCATCTAAAGAGCTACGCTTTTGCGAAGCTACACATGAACTGAATGTCTTGAGGGGTTTATTCAAAGAAGGGTGGTATGTGTAATTGAAGGGTGCAGAAGTTTGCACAGAAGCCAACAGACACACCTCTTTCATCTTAACTGTCGTGAAAACCTGCATGCAAGCAGTCCAACTCCTATTGGAGATGGAAACACATCAACATACTGTAACACTTAAAATCCATCTAAGATCCCCCAGGGAGCGAAACACAGGGAAGCCAGGGGAAGTTGGCTATTATAAAAATAATACGGATAATAATTATTATTACATATGATTCAGTCATGACGATGATTAATCACAAGTTCTTTTTCATGAAGATATAGCATAGATGCATGCACTTCTCGCCATCGCCATCCAAGCGTAGCGGCGCACTTCACTCACTTTAACTCAAAAATCGGGAAAAGAACGTTGTTAGTCCCACTCCGAAAAGCTATTTGCCAGGGCCTTAATTATAGAGACAGATATAAAACGGAGAAACATGACGAATCAAGCCCTGTTACATTGGCCGCTCTACCAGGTGAGCTGTTCAGGAGCTCCAACTAAAACTCATTACCTTTGGAACACAATACTGCATTTACACTGATGTATCCATGTGTAAGACTGGAGGATGTGGAAGATGAAACTACCATCTCTCATTAGTCCTACGGGCCCACTGGGAAACCAAATAGAAAGATGAATGGAAGTCAGAATGTCCTCTGTTAACAAAGTCAAAATTGTGATACACGGCAACCCTGTCTCCTAAAAATTACGTTCCCACAGAACTAAACTGCATTCTCAATTACGTTTAGCTAGAAACTTATTCTCTCCCACGTTACGTTCGTTATGAACGTATCTCAAATACGTTTATTTCTACATATCTTCTTGAAACGTCTTTTCTCCCACGTTACGTTTCTTATGAACGTATCTTAAATACATTTAATTTTTACATATCTTTGCCATTTATTGTCTTGCTTATAATAACGATAATAGTCATTTATAAATATCAGTTTAGAGTACACATTTGAAATCAGTAGGCGAGGCTGTAATGTTGCCAGCTGTTACTCTCATGAGCGAGGGAGAAAATAATAGTTTTTAACATGCCAAAAAGCTGCTGTGCCGGCTCGTTTATTATTACGTGTTTCTGTACTTCCTCTAAGAAGAAAGGACAGTAACAGAAGATCTCTGTGACGCCAGATGTGGTGTTGTTAATGCGATATGATATCCGGAAAAAAAATTCAGTTTAGGATGGCCGAAGACACTACACTACCCATAATCCCCAGCTATCGTTTGGGACTACAGTCCCGTTGACAAACCCCGTGATCAATCTTCAAGCTCTGGGATTGGATGTTGGAGTGGCAGTGCGCCAAGGTTACGCCGAGCGTCAAGCGCTTTGAAATGGAACGAAACCACGTTTCAAAACTGGACTCGAACGCCCCCCGAGAACTACACATGCTGGCTATTGTGTTTCGCAACATGTTCTCTATGGCACGTCTCTACTGGGAATTGTAGTTTTAAAAGATGTTTTCGTTTTTCCCAAAATTAGAAGTTGACAGTATTCAACTGTGTACAGCCCTGGAGGTTTAGGCGATAGGAAACAAATTGGTGTGTACACATTTAAAACATGTAATTACTAAATGTGGGAAAATCGCTTGTATCCATAATGGGCAGCATTAATACCCACATGACAGCTCATTGTTACTTTGTAATTCTACTCCACAATTCAGAAGTTAACCTGGTATTTTTACTCCACTACATTTATTTTAGTTACTTTGCAGATTCTGATTAATGATGTGAAATATAAACAACCCTTAAATCAGACTTTAGTTACACGTGAGTACAATTCAGGGAAAGTGCCAACAATCAGGAGAGATATTTGATAGTTGGTGCTTGAGAAGACTAAACATTTATCTGCAGATCTCTATAAAGTATATTCATTAATCGTTATTCTCTACTAATAGTTAATTAAAAACTGTATGTAATTGCTATTTTGCACATCCCTTTCAAGATTTCAAGATTTTCAAAGGTGTATTGACATATCATATACACAACTACGGTATAGTTATGCAATGAATGAAAAACGTGGGTCACATGTTCCTCAACAGTGCATTACAAGACATCTATCAATATGTGTGTACCTCCACCATTAAACTGTCATATTCTGCACATTTCTTATACTACATAAGAGTATAATTAATGTGTATAATATCAGTTAAAATAAGTGCTTCAACATAGTTAACATTGCAGGAAAGCAATATATTAGACGTTAAGTACTTTGTCAGGCTTAATATTTATCTGTAGATAGATACCTCCAAAGCTTTTTTCTTACTTGAAAGAAGACATTAACCTAAAGTATTCTTTAATGTGTTAATAAAGGTTAATTAGTTTGTCTGTCTTGCACATCCTCCTATAAATATCTTTGTACATCGTGCACTAAACTGTTTTATTGTAGAGATCACTTACAGTATCTTCTTGATTTTTTATATTCTATATTTCTATCATTGACCTTCTACGTTCCCCCTATGAAAGTATGTACTCTTAATATTTTTTTCATCAAATAACATTATTCAAC